TCTTCTGCACATTGTGTGCTTACTTCATTCTAGGAATTTAAAAGCCGAGTTTTGAGGCTCAAAATTGTGCTAACTCTACTGTAAAACGGAACTTATTCAAAAACGGCACGAAAACGTAAAGATTTTCCAAGCGTCGAACAAAATATCTATCCACAAAGTTTATTCTATCTCATATAGCCTTGGTAGAAGCTAACTAGAGTGCGTAAACCATAAAAAAACAGACGTTTTTGGAGGCAGTGTCTTTAAAGGCATTCAGAGCCATCTGGAGAAAGTAACGTTTCTCTTTTTGAACTGCACTAGGTTCAATATGTAGCAGATATTTCAAACTTCGTTACTGTAACTTAACAAAAAATTTGGACACGAAAGATTGCAGTCTTGACTGAAAAATGGACCTTTGTTTGAGGTGTTCGTACATATAAATATGAACCGCTAAAAATTCGCATTAGGCGCAAAAACACTCCTAAGATTGACGTCCATTTCCATTTTTATGGATAACTAGCTGATGGCCCCGGTCTCACCCGAGACTTCAAGTTAGTTAAGCCACAGAACTTGTAAACTTACGCCTCTAGATTTCTTCCAACATGCGCATAAAGCGCTTTCAGACTAATTGCCGCACCCTACCAACTTTAAGACTGAAATGGAATTTACCACCCCTGCTTAAATGCTTATATGTAAAAATGATCGGTTGCCATGATGGCCCTTTATTTTTCTGGGTTTGAGCAAACAAATCAATAAATCAATAGAAGGACCCTGCGAATTACAGCGGAAAGTAGCTCTAAGCCACCACCGGGGTCGAAAATGTACGTGTGCAAAGTTTTAGCCGAATCGGTTCAGTGGCGCGCGTTTCTATAACGAACGAACAACTAAACGAACATCCTCACAGACATTGAGTTTTATATAGATATAGATAGATATACCGTTTTCGGCTGTGCTCTATCGCATGGTACCAACGGCTTTTTGAGTTTTTTCCAAAAAGTCCAGAAACTTTCAAAATCTGAGGTGTTCGTATAATTATGAACCGCACTTTAGCATCAAAAAAGCTACAATATTTACTGAAACATTAAGAATAGCACGTACATGTGGCTTACTCAGTGACTTCATCGAAAAAATTACACAATTCAAATTAACACTTAACAAACCAATATGATTCATACACTATCTCACCAAGCATATTCAAATGCATAAATAGAAGTTTATTCTGTATAAATACAAATTTTACGAAAAAACAAAAAATGAACTTCTAAAAAATATTGCAAGTATAGCAAATCTTATACATAAAACTTATTCAACCGTAAAATTATAAAGCTTATAAAAATGAAATGTGAGTTAATAATGAACAATATAAACAATAATAGTTTGATATAAAAATTTGGTAACTTCATTTATCCATTCACAACTTTTGGTGCGGTTTATAATAGGAGCAAAACTATCAAAAAGTAAGTCATGCTACATTTTTATGCAAATTTTACATGCATTCAACCTAAATATTCTAGCTAAACATAATATATAAATTTCTAAATATCAACTTTTTACTTGATGCTAGGTCTTTCTTTTCTTACTGAGGAGTTCCCGGGAAGACCTAGTGATCAAGTCAAATTCCGTCTAAGGGAAGGAACGAAACGGAGTCAAAACGTAAAAAGCACGCAATTTTTCTTTTATTACATACCCGATAATTGTAATCATTTCAAAAAAATTTGAGCCGTGACCTACCATGTGGGTCACATTGTCCCACGTGGCAATCATTGCATGACCCACCATTTGGATCACGAATATACGTCAATGTGTTGAAGATGGATTCGTCTTTTAGCAATCGATAGGCCTGATATTGCATGTGTCACCGAATCGTGGCTGTCACTTTCAATCAATTCGTCGGAGTAGTGCCTCACTCTTCCACACATTGTCTTTTGGAAAGATAGTAAAGGAGTACGAGGGAAAGTATCCGTGTTTTCATTCGAGATACGATTCTTTGCGAGGACATTCTTGTACTACCTGCACCCGGTTCAAGAGAAGCTAGCAATAAAACTGTTCGATCTCCTGGCATCGTGTCAAGCTGGATATCATTTTATGGACAAAAAGCAAAGGGGATGTTGTTTTGTGGCCGAAAAGATACAAAAATTGTGACTAGCCGACGTTTCATTTTCAAAAAATTTTTTTACGTCCAGGGTTTACAGGGTTAAAGGGGACTTTGTACAAATTCTTCAAGTGTTCTGAGCCACACAGGTTTTTAGATGGTCTTTATTATGCAATCCACGGCCTAACGTTTCGACGCCTTCGTCTTCCTCAGAGGCCGAAAGACCACCGCTATATATGGTATTCCGCACCGGAAATGATGGTCGTGGCGGAAGAATTCGAAGAAAAAAGAAGATTCTTCCGCCACGACCATCATTTCCGGTGCGGAATACCATATATAGCGGTGGTCTTTCGGCCTCTGAGGAAGACGAAGGCGTCGAAACGTTAGGCCGTGGATTGCATAATAAAGACCATCTAAAAACCTGTGTGGCTCAGAACACTTGAAGAATATATACGATGCCCAGGTTTAAAGAAAGCGAGACATGGAAACTTTGTACAAAATTTTCAAGATCAAAGGGGACTTCATTTTTGAATTCTCCTGGTACCAGCTCGTGCCGAGCCATGGTTCTAGTCTATCGCCCACCTTCATCCTCATACTCTGAACTACTGATCTCACTAAATTCGTACAAATATTTATCGTGTTTTCCAGAGTGTGTTGTTAAGTGATTTCGACCTCACTGTTGAATTAAGGTTAACCATCAGGCCCCTACCCCGGTGATGAAGCTGTTCTAATCAGTTTAGAATTCATAAAAACTCGACCGGGCGGGGAAGTCTGTGGATGTATGTCGATCAAACGGGGGCTTAAATGCAGTGTCCGGGCAAAAAGTCGATTTTGAGATTTTGTGCTTACCCGGGCCTATTCGCTATGGTGAACCCGAAAATCCACACGGGAGAGCGGAAAAACGGCGAAAAAGGGCCCTAACACAGGAGGGAAATGAGCAGGTGGGCGGGGTCCTCCCCACTGCGAATACACGTTCCCGGCTTTCGGAGCGACCTTCTCGCTTCCGGTTTCAAGTCAATCATTCGCACTTGACCGGTAGCGATGATCGCTCCGGGAGCTGGGAGCGTGAAATCGCACTGGGAAAGCCCCGCCCACCTGCTGATTTACCTCCTGTGTTAGAGCCCTTTTTCGCCGTTTTCGCGCTTTCCAATGTGGATTTTCGGATTCAGCATGGCGAATAGGCCCATATAAGCACAATATCTCAGAATCGAGTTTTTGCCCGGACACTGCCTTTAATGTGTAATGATTGTACAGGGTGTCCGTAAAGTATGTATACGCTGTTTGATCGTTAATATCTCTTTTCCCAAGAAGTCTTTTGCCTTGCTTCAGGTACCATTTTGTAGAGCTGGATTTGGATTCGACTTAGATTTTCAGTATGGAGCAAATCATCCATCTCTCTTCATTACTGTGGGACTACGGTGGAAACTTTAAAGAGGGTTTTGAGCCATGAAAGGCCATATTTTGCCTCAGAAAGGAAACAAGACAGCCTGAAAACTATCCACGATCGACTATCAATTAATCTTGGCATCGTACAAGTGTATATACAGGGTGCCCAAAAGTAAGTACACACTTTTCAATCGTTAATATCTCTCTTCCCATTGCATCTTTTTTCGCCACTCAAGTACCATTCTGTAGAGCAGGCTTCAACTTAGATTTACGGTATTGAGTGAATCACCGATCGATCTTCATTACTGTAGGATAACTGTAGAAACTTCGACAAGGATTTCATACACACACATACACACATACACACATACACACATATACACACACATACACACACATACACACACATACACACACATACACACACATACACACACATACACACACATGCACACACATACACACACATACACACACATATACACACATACACACACATACACACACATACACACATACACACATACACACACATATACACACACATACACACATAGACACACATAGACACACATACACACACATACACACACATACACACACATACACACACATACACACATACACACACATACACACACATACACACATACACACGCATACACACATACACACACATACACACATACACACACATACACACATACACACACATACACACACACATACACACACACATACACACACATACACACACATACACACACACACATACACACACACACACACACACACACACACACACACACACACACACACACACACACACACACACACACACACACACACACACACACACACACACGCAAGTACCCCCTCCATCTATTCCACCTTCTCATCGCCTGGAAACGTCGCAAGTGCTCATCACTGTAAAACGATCTCATTTTCTGCAAAGCCTACATTTTTTCGCTTTAACTGCTCTTGCACGCGCGGTCGTCCAAAAATTATTCAGATATGGAGAAAAGGCTTGTGTACAATGAAGAAGAAATGACATGACATCAAAATTGGTGCGTGGATGCGCTTAGGGAATGGGAACTATGTGTGATTAATATTGAAAAAGTGTGTGAACTGGAGGCGGGCAAACTTTCCCGGAGTAAGATGGCTTTTGAGCTACTTGGAGAGAAATTTTGTGTGAAGGCAGTATGTTACAAAAGCGTGGTGGCGCGCGTCGGACACAGCATACCGTAAATTTGGAGAATATGTACAGGAATTATTAGTTTTTTATCGCATGTTTTTTACTGTTTTTTATTCTGTCCTATTCTTCTTGTTATTCTAATTCATTCATACGTAGGGGATATCGTGTTTTTGCTGCAATGTCAACAGGACTTTGTTCCCAAAGAAAGAGCCACCTTGTGTCAGCCCTGGCAAGCAATGTCACAGAAGTCAAGGTATGAATACAAATGAATTCAGAGAAAGAGTTTTGATAGGAATTTCGATCTATGACTGTTATTAGTGTGCCTTCATTAACCAGCGGGGAAACTGCTCTTGTTTGCATCATTTACGCTGCATGCTAACTTTATTTTTCAGTCGAGATAACATGAATACGTTAAAAAGCAACTTTCTTTGGCCTTGTATAAAGATGCTTGCAGAATTTATCACGGTTACTCAAACAATAAACAGTTATACCAATCGTCAAGGGTGCTTATTGTTTGTGACACCACCACATCGGAGAAGAATTGGCAGTGATTTCCGTCACAGGTAAAGCCTGGTTTCAAACAAGTAAATCCTATCCCGTTGGCAGTCTATAACAATTAAAAAAATTTATCTGATACGAATTGCTCTCTGTTACTGTGTACCTCAATATCATTGGCGGTGACCATATTCTTCTGTGCTGGGTTTAGAGCTGCTAACAGCATGTTGCGCAAATTGATATCAACACAGAACATCTTGCTGCATGGCATCAGTGGCGGGAGGGCTTTCGCACTGCAAAAAAGTTGGCTTCAGTTCACATTTGACCAACAGTCAAGATTTTTGCCAGCAATTATGGCTGCTGTCTCCTCTTTTTTCAAGGTCCCTTTCACAATTTTCGGCGTTATTTATAGAGGAATTATATAGGCAACCGCTTGACCGGTTTGAGAAGCAATCGAATGCGCTTGATATAGCAAAAGTCCCAATTCCTTTTGACGAGAGGCGCTATGTGGCTCTTGCATTGAACTTTTTTGTTGAAAGCATGTTGAGAGAGCACTATGTCGCAAACTCTACGATTTGCCCACTGCTTAGAGAGATTGGACATCGCGCTGGTAGGAATGCAGTAGAACACTATGCACTTTCGCAAAAGAAAACCATTTCGATGAATAAAGGCAATCTATCTTGTCTGGTACAAGACGGAAATTGTTTTGAAAAAAAGCTAAAGTGAAGGTTATATTGAAGCTTTAGCAGTATTCGAAGGTGATAATACGACCAGAAAGTTATTTCATGTTAAAAGGAACATTAACTTTTTTCTAATAATTGTGATCTAGAGGGTGTTTTGTATACCATACATAATCAAATGACGACGGCAATGGTACAGCCGCTCCAGCGATTGCAGTGCGGAAAACGCAGTAACTATTAGGGTGAACGGTAAAAAATGAGGCAGATGGATTTTTATTACATTTTGAGGTTTTTTGTTCTCACCAACAATAAGTAGGCTGCAACTCTTACGCCGCTTACATAAGCGAACTTCGCCTATTATTCTGGCAATGCGTTACAGCTCCTCTCTCTTAACCGTACGCGTGGCGCCGTAAAGAACTTAGACAGGGTTTTTGGAACAATTCTCAATCTTGCGCTGCTATACAGTAAATTCGTGAAGCAAATGGCATACCATTCGAAAGCGCTCTTCATGCTCTTTCGAACGATGTGTTAAATGCATAAGCTTTCTCTCCGATTTTAGAAAAAAAGCGAAAAAAACCTAAAAATTAGCTATTTTTGGCGCAATAAAAAAACAAAAAATCATGATTTGCCCTATATTTTCCGAAGATATATAAAATCTGAAGTAAGCTGCATATGGATGGATAGAGCGTAAAAAGCTCTATCAGAGGGTATCTAAAAAACATGCGTTTACCTGCAAATAATAGAATAACGCGTATCTTCGTTCTCGAAGCTGCTAATGGCCGCATCTCCTGATTTTGAAAGTTAAAGCTACCTAGCCGTCGAGGGTTTGGTGACTGTCCCACCACCCAGTCCAGCAGTGGTACTTTGGGTACTGTCACATGTTTCACTGCGCAGATACTGCTCAAACATCATAATTTACCGATGACTAACTTTGCATTTCAGCAAGTATAAAAATTATTAGTTAAGTAAATGACCTTATATAGGTATTGTCTGAAAGAGAATAGCATAATCTAACATCTATCAGAATTGAAAAGTCCAATCACTTCTCTTTCTTGAAAAACCTCCAGTCATTTCGTGAGTGCCCCATTTTTTACCAATCACCCTAATAATAGGGCCTAAATGCCTACCATGTGCATGACTTACTTGGGAAGCTACTTTTAAGGCAATTTAGTTGAGTATCAGTTTGACTCTCACGATCAGATTTGATTCCCCCATTGTCGATATTCACAAAAGGCCTTCCATACTTGACTTCAGCAAGATTCAATAACTTGCATTCTTACTATGCAAGCTGGTTCTTGCGTTAAGTTCGAAAGCGTAACTGGATCATTAGATCAAAGGCTTGCACTTTTGCGATAATCGGCATGCATTGGTAGCGCACAAGTCTAAACTGTCGCAAATTTGTTAAGGATATGATTTTCGGATTTAACAGTCGAAGATGTGGTATGGTTGTCACTACACTTTTTTGATCTCGCCTGAAACTTGGCAGAGGAAGTGGAAAAGTTCAATGATCACGAATACAAAAGTCTTTGATAGTATTATTTGAATTCCATTTTTTTGCATATTTCTGAGGATGTGCAAATTCGGTAAAAGGTATAAGATAATAAGATAGGATAAGATGATAGATACGTTGAACGATAATACGATGAACGCTAAGATAATACGTTGAGCGCTCAAAATAGTTACATCATCAGAAACAGAGTTTTTCCTTTCATAGCGTACAAAATGGTAAACTCATAAATAATATCAACCGTTAGCTTCGTTTAAGGTTTCTCATAGCTGCAATGGTTTCTAAAGATTTTGGAGATGAGAATGGCACTAAAATATCGCAGAGCATTTTTCAAATGCAAAACAGCCTCCATTTTCAAACATTTTGTGACTTTTATAAATCTTTGGTTGAAGTAGTTGCTAAGGTTAGTAAGCCCAATTGGTGTTACAACTCCTTTTAAAATTTTTCAAAAAAACTTTAACTTCTAAATAGGTATGAAAACAACTTTATACCGTACAGCTGCCAACAGCCATTGCCTCTTTCACAAAAATAAGCGTCAACCGCGGTTTAATAGCAATTGGATAGCAATGATTTTTGACGGTGGGCGGTAACTGTAGCCATCTTTGCTTAACTGCATGTAGAACATGAAATAGGGAACCAAATCTTGCAGAGGCTTCTTTATGAAAGTCGATTTTTGACTTGTACCAGTCTTAAATCACTATGTAAGGTATTATGCAAAAAGAAAAATAGTGGAGATGTTTGATAACAACACAGACTAATTCTAAACATGTCTGAAATTGGAATCTGTGGGAGCAGTAGCTATATTTGTAACTTAAATCACAATCCACTTACAATAAGAGTAAGAGGGAACAGCGGTTCTTGCGTACAAGAAAAGCTGATTCTAAAGCAGCTCCAAAACACATGCAGAAGGATTTCAAATGGGAGCTACAGTTAATTGCACCACCAAAATTTGCAAGGTCTATAGTAATTTATGTTCAAAAGGTGAGAAATAATATGTTGCCGTAGGCTCTACCTTCAAAAATATAGTAGTTAATCTAAATGCGCTTAGTAGCTATTAGGTTGGCTCGAAAGTTCTGGGACATTTTAGAACTAGATCTGCTATTTCTCAAAACGTAACGGATATACATCAGGTAGAGGTACCATTCGATAGAGCAAAGCAAGCTCTACAAGATGGCATGCAAAAGTTCGCACCAGCTTCGATCCACCGTAAGTTTGCACCCAAAATCTGAGTCGTACTGAAATTCAAAAAATCGCGAAAAATTCATGTCTTTGTTCAAACAAATCCTGCGGATCTCCAACTTGCTCACAAAAATTGCACACCACATCAGACACTCATGGCACCGTTCCTGTATTTTTTACTCATTTAAAAATCGAGAAAACCAAAATTTTCAAGTTTTTAGAAAAACGAAGCTGTGCTGTTTCCACCCACATAATTGAAAAGTACAATTGCTAAGCCACATAGATACATAAACAACGTGTAGTTTGTGAAAACATAAAAACAAGGTACACTCGATTTCGAGAAACCCTTCTTTGCCTCACACACAGACCCTGGAAATCTTGCAGAACGCGTGCACCTTGGCGGACGGGTTGTTGATGTAGAGTTTGTCTCACACCTTCTGAAGCAAGCATTCCAGATTGTTCCAAATTTAGTGCGAATCAAAGCAAGCCTTGCTTTCCATGACTGGTCACAAAGAAAAGTCAAGTTACACGACAATTGAAAGCAGGCTCATTTGAGAGGTTTATTCATGAGTTTTAGCAAAATTCTGAATTTGTAGCAATCAAATTTATGAGAACACCAAGAAGACAAAAATCATGGTGTGCTCGAGGTGATTCTAAAATAGTTCGGTAAAAATTGCAAAGATTACAACTAGAGTCAGGGAATTCAGACTACTTGGTGATGGAGACTTCAGCTTCTTTAAGTCAAAAACTTTGTCTCCTCAGTGGCTACCCTAAGTAATTGCGTCTTGGTTTCAAAGTAATGAACAAAGACAGGTGAGTGGTTTTGTTTTGTAAATGTAGGGTAAAGCTAGCATTACATTATGCAACACCTGTAGAAGCTTCAAAAAAGAGCTCTATAAAGTTTGAACAGCGGGTGCGTTTCGGCTTTCGCTTTGGCTTGACCTCAAATTCGTAATGCCATTGCTTCGAGAACTATATCTTGAGAATGCGCAAAGCAAACGACTTACAAAACGAAACCAGAACTCATATGCAAACTTTGATTGAAAAGCAAGGAGACTACAAAGTTATTACGTTGCAAACTTAGGCTTGAAGACTTTTAGGGCACCCCGTAATAATTCCAAACTCTTATATTTCCTTTATTAGTGCCGAAACTCAAATGTACAATGAGAAACCATGTTTAAAAGTTGTAGAACTCAGTTTTCAAAATGACATTTCAATTTTTGGATCCTGCTCAAAGAATGGTACTTTCCTTGTTTAGAATATCTCAAGATAGGGCTTCATTACTACGAATTTTCATATTTGGCTGGTTCATCATGCACGGCTTCTCAAAGTTCTCACAAAAGATACCTTTTCGGTTTTAAGGCGACGCGCACATATTGGTTCTGCACACTCCATTGCAAAGCAGCCATTCTGTCAAAGTCGATGGCGGCTTTGGCGCTGTTTTTCAGTTTTTGTAGAATAGGATTCAAAAGTACTTCTACTGCCTCGCTCACCTTAAACAGATGCTTTAAACATGTTCTGAAGAATGAAGCAGCCTACCAGTTCGTCTGCATTCTGTTCTGCCATTTTTACGGCCTTACCCATGAAAAAGGCCTTGACAATCGGCTCCATAACCTTCCAATACAATTTATTTGGAAACTTGACAGTTGGTGCTGAATTTATTTTTATCGATGCGCGAATAGCGAAATCTGTCCAGGTTAAATCGATATCCGTTGATGCCGAGCTCGAATAGACTCTGCAAACAAAGCATCAAACAACAGCTACTGCAATTTGGCTATCAGCTACACGTCTCTTTTAAAACGTGGGTGTAATGAGTAAGCATTTACTTCAAAAGTGAGGGGGGGCGGAAGCTCCTCACCCGAGCCATATCCTCGCACCTAAGGCTGCGTTCATACTGATCCCGAAGTTCGGGAATAGTTCCAGCAGAGCGCAAAAAATGAGCGTTGTGCTGGGACTGTTCCCGAATTACGTAATTAGTATGAACGCACACATCTGGGCTCGCTATAATTACGAGTTCCTCAGGAGACCAAAACATTGCAAGCCCCACCGCTTACCCTGTCGCTCCAGATGATAAAACCTGAATTTCAAAATACTTCCAAAATCGATGTTGAGAACTGAATTTGCTCCAATTAAGACCAAATTTCGGATGTAGGGTTTTCGAGATTGCTCTTTTCAATAGTGAGATTTGCTTGTTGCAAAGTCAACGTTTAGCACAGCTAATGTTTTACTAATACAATATTCGGATTCAGAGGTTCTCGTAGTTTCCTTCTCCAAATGAAGATCAAAGTTCAGGTTTGCGTGTTCTCTAAATCGCTTTTTCCATAATGATGTATGTTTTGTTTAATACGCATAGCATTTTGAATTCTTGAACAATTTATTGGAGAAAAAATGTTTTTCGCACAAAAATAAATTACTTCCATAGAAATTAAAATGCCAAGTGCAGGAATGCGTATGTGATTCTGTAGTGTTTTCTTTTCTAAATTCAGTTTTAAGAATATGTCAAGGCACATGCGCTGATATTGACCCAGTCAATTATCTTTTGAAACCTGATACATCACAGGTCACTGAGGTCATCGAGGCTGACTCAATGCCAGAAAGCTTAATAGTAGACCTAGAAAGCTTGGACTGGTGTCAAACATTAGAGAAGAAAATCCTTACTATTTTGAAAATCCAACTTTGGTCTGGTTTTCAGGAAAATTCCAGTAATTTATTTATTTATCTTTGTCGTTATTTATCAGAAAAATTCGACCTTGACTGCTTCCCCCCCCCCTCTTATTTAGCTGAGGATGATTCTGGTCATTGCTCAATTCATGCTTATCGGCTTTCTGTTCACACTTCAAATTATGTCTTTGACAATCGCAGATATGGCCGTCACTGGAGGCAAACAATGCAATTTTGGAATTTCTAAAAAGTTTGTTTATAGTTGAATTTACCTTATTCCGATACGAATAATTTCCAGTGTGTTGGATGAAAAGGATCACCGATCTACCAATATTTGGTGGCAGGAAAATGAGAGGCCGTTTGACCTCTCAGCAGGGTATAAAAGGGGAAGAGAGAGGGGAGCCGCGAGCAGAAGAGGCTGCCCAACGGTACCGGTACTGCAATGGGCTAGTGCACTATCAACAGCCTTCAGTAGATTGGGGTAATAGCGTTTCTATTTAGGAGGGAGTCATAAGTCATAAGCAGTTTGAGCGGGGAACTTTATTAATTACTTTACTTCTTTACGAGTAAACTTAATATTTCTGAGTACAATCTTATCGAGCTTCTTACAGTTTATTCAGCTTACGTCAACCTCCATTCGAAAGATATAAGCTTGAGCATAGATTTACAAGCCTTTGTTCAGCCAAAAAATCGCGAATTTTTTTGAATATTTTGCCTGAAAAAGCAAAAGAAGCCTACACGCTTTATAAAGTTGTCTTAAAGAAACTTGAGAATCTCTGTTGACTGCTACGTCGGCTGCGCAATACTTCGGGTTATCGACGCAAATTTTAAGCATGCCACAAAATCCACCCGATTCGGAGCTCCACTTCAAAGATTGGAGAGAAGCGGCAGCAAGTTGCCAGGATAATAGGCGACACTTATAACAGTGGAGTTTCTGCAGCATACTTGCTGCTTGTCAAACAAAAAGTTATGAGATATGAACATGAGATATGAATACCAAGCTGTTCCCAGTTTCTGTTCTTTTAAAGTTGTGCAATTTTTGCTATGCTGGAGCCAAGTTCAAAAATTGAAGAGGACGAACTGGGATTTGCAGTATATTCTACATCAGGGCGCTCTTTGAAAAAAAAAAAAAGGTTCTATTGAAAGATCTTGTTTAGATTGTTGACCGACCCTATTCTGCTAATCTGACTATCGCAATAGTAGTTTCTTGATTTTCTATAAACCATCCTCTTTCTGGCAGAGCTGAAAGCGAGCGAAGTTATTGCGACAGCATATAAATAGTACAAGAGTGCAGAAATAGCAAATCTTTGGGCTTACAATTCAACCTGTTGCTACCTCTGAGTTATAGACAAGAAAAGTGGGCTCAATAAAGACATGAGATGCTCACAACAAAAACTGCTCTCTATTTTCCGGTTGAAATATTTCCGGAGATGATTAGTACATTGTAAGCTCAAAGACGCAGATTGAAATCGACTTTCAAGATAAAGTTCGAACAGTAATGGTGAGCAAGTTATGCGCAAGATTTGCTCAAACAAAAAAGGTTGGGTAAAATCATCTCGAACATTTCATTCAATTTCACGACTGTTTCTGGTTAACACCAGTTTTCCTAAGAAAGTTAAAAATTTTACTATTCGAGTACTGGTGTTTATGGACGTATAAAACTCAAGTAGAGCACCAGCTTTAATGTCTAAAACACTTTTTAGTAGACTTTAAGTCCTTTTGTAACTTGTTCAACTATTGCGCGAGATTTTTGAAATGGAATAAAGGATACAGAAATTAAATTACTCAAATCTTTCCGATGCGGAGATTGCCAATGTTTTCAGCCTGGCTCGAAAACCAATCCTGTACTGCAGACCTCTTACCTGAAATTGACAGTGATTTGACTAATAAACTAAAAATGCATCAAAATTTTTTATATTAGATTTCAAAACCCAGTCCCAGCTACTCTTCATAATTTTGATGAAAAATTATCGACAACGCGTATGTAGCGTCAATCGCTCGTGATATATACCGATCAGATTATGTGGGAAAGAACACTGTTTCAGTATAACTTGAGCAAGACTTTCTGCACTCGTGGGCTCAAAATGCGAATGATGAGGGCACCAAAACGCAACATTTTCCAACAGTGAATTACGCCGTTCGTGACTTGACACCTTATTTGGACAGCTCCAACTAACTTTCCAGTATTTTTCAGAATGATTTTCCCAGAAGTCTTCACTTTTGTGAAGTCATGTGGTAACGAACACATCAAAAGCTGAGAAATTCGGAATCCAAGAGTTTCAAAACTCGACTATTATTCAACACTAACCTTACAAGGCAAATGAACTTTTTCCGCTACGAAATATTGAATTTGGAATTTCGGTACGGCCTTGGGCGAGTCGAAAATCCAGAATTTGTATGGTCATATCTCCGAAAGTTCCGCAAAGAAAGAATGCCTATCGGAGGAGAAAAAGCTGCATTTAACAACGCCGGAATTGTTTGTCAGTCGATGTTCTGTGAGGTTCGGTTAAACCAATTATGGAATTCGTTGGCATCAGGAAAATGCTTTTGATTATCGTGCAGGGCTCGGCACGAGGTGGCTAGATGAAAATGGAAAAAACGAAGTCCCCCTTGACTTTTGGGAATTTTTACGAAGTCCCCTTTGACCCTGAACCAAATTTCCTCTAAAAACCTGAAAAATTCCCGAAAATCCCCCAAAAAACGAAACGTCGATTAAAAAAAAAGGTCGCCGTCGTCAATTTTCCGTATGTCTTCGCTCACAAAAACGAAACCCCCTTTGCTTTTCGTCCCAAAAACGATATCCAGCTTGCTTGTAAGCCACCTGTGCCGACCCCTGTTATCGTGAAAAGCCAGCTGTAGATGCCAAATGATTTACAGTGTTGCAGTGTTGCACTTTATTTGCTCTATCAACCTTTAAAAGAACTCTTCCAGGACTCCATGTGAACTTTGCCAAACTTGGGCTGGATAAAAGACATAGGTTCAAAACTTTTGCAATTATCTCAACACCACAAAAGCAAGTAGTCTCAAAGCATGACTGTTGGAAGGAAGAAGAAAAAGTGCGTCGGCGAGTCCTTGTGTTTGCTCACCCTTGTTCCATGTGATTTTATGATAAATCGCAGAAATGGATAGAACCCCGGAACGACCTAATATTCCTAATATTCTACCTGTTCTAGAATTCTTCATTTTGAGAAGTCCTGATTCGCAATTACAAATTTCGAGAATTTTGAAACTTCTAATGCTACCGATTCGACTCCAAATTTACTAGGAAAAATGAGGTGAAGATTAACAAAGAAAAATGAACTAAACGCTTCAAAACTGAATCTCACATTTTTCGAATGCAGTTTGAGGCGAGCCATAATAAGAATTGTGATAATTCTCCCTCGAAGCCATCAGAAAAGAAAAAATTCTTTCAGAAGCATCCAAAAAGCCTTAGGCCTAAGGCATACCTACCGCGATTACGCAAAATCGCTACCTCCACGCGACTTGGCGATTTGCCAGATTTCTTTAGATTAACTATGTGCGGGTCTTAAATGCAAAGTTTGTAGATTCCGTAAGCCTAGCAAACGCAGCAGGTCTGGCCCCAGCAAAGTACGCTTACCGACCAATTATAAAGGATCGTTGCAGAGCAAGATCGCGCAGCGACTGGAATCGAGTGAGGTATGCCTTAGGCCTTAAAGAACAGATTTGAAGAGTTTAGCAAGCGCTATAAATACTAAATGCATCACATGCAAGTTCTTCACTTTATCCACCTATTATTAGAGCTTCTTTAAAATTTTGAAATATAACGTTCCGACTTTTGAACGAAAATTGCTAAAAATGAACATGGTATAGTCACAGCTAGTCTGCGATTATCTTGGCGACCACATGCTACACTCTCGCCGCGCAGGCGGCCAGCCACGATCTTACAAAGGCTCATTGGTGTGTGCGATCGTACGGTCGTCCATGGCCGATCGTACTTGTGATATTGCTCCCCGCTGCGAAGGTCGGCCGCTCGCCTGCTGTTAGGGTAATTTTGTACGAGATACCTTAGCTTTTTTTGAATTATGTGTCCCGTCCTGGCAAGACACCCACAATGGTAGCCGCCTTAACGTGGCGTAGGGGTGACACTGGATGTTGAACTGCGATGCACAGCCGAATGTATACTTTGGCAGGGCCTCCCAAGCCGTGAAGGAGTTCGACGTTTCCGGTATCGGCCGGATGCCTAGTTAAGTGCCGGCCAGGTCAAAGCCCCCGCCGTCTGCCTTTTTCCGATTGCTAGGCGGTCCTCCCCGCTCCACATCCGGGTCAGCGGTCACCCCGTTGAAATCAAGAGTTGGCTTAATAAGTCTCTGCGTTTGTGAAAAAATTTTATTACTCGTTCAGCAAAAGAAGAGAAATAAACCCCGCACATCGGATCCTGCCTACCGCCGGGTGGTAGCAAGAACGATGTCAGGCTACTCAGGGCGCCTTTCGGATTGGACAAAAACGACACGTCTGCCCGGACGACACGCCATGGAGACTGCCTCATGCTCTGCACCTACAACGCCAGGACATTCTCCACAAACGCCGACCTCCACGCTCTTCTCGACGCTGCAGAGCATATCAACTACCACATCATCGCTCTGCAGGAAACGAAGTCCAGGAAGAAGGACGTGCGACAGATGAGTGATGGGACTCTCATCATTCGTGGTGAAAAGGTTCCATCACGAAACGTGGGAGGCGTCGGCTTTGTCGTCCATCCATCTATCGTCCATCTTGTCGATTCGCACGAGATCCTATCACCTCGACTAGGCATCCTACGACTACGCCTTCCACACTAGAAGACCATCAGCATCATCAACTGCTACTCGCCAACATCAGCAGCTGACGACTCAGAACTAGATGCTTTCTACGAAGACGTGGAGGAGGTCGTCCGCAACGAAAAGTGCTTCTACAAATTTGTTGTGGGCGACTTCAACGCAAAGATCGGGATGCCACTAGAAGAGTAATATAAGATCGGGAAGTCTGGTTATTGGCTCCAAAACGAAAACGGCAACTGTTTCATCTTCTCTCCGCCGCACGACTTTTCCATGGAAATTCCTTCTTCATAAAGAAAGAACATCGCCGATGGACATAGGAATCGCCCAACAATACGACTAACGCGGAGATCGACCACATTCTCACCAACCGAAGGTGGAGCTTGCTCGATGTTTCAGTAGTTCCATCCTGCTGCAGTGGCTCCGATCACCGCCTCCTTCGAGCAAAGGTACGATTCAGTCGAAAGCTGGAAAAGAAGGCCTGCCATAGTACCGCAAGAAGGAAGAATGTCGTTCATGACGGTAACAGGCTGGAAGAGCTCATATCAAGTTGTGACTTGCCCATCGACGAGGACCCAACACGACTAACACCGGCTTCTGAAAGGATTGCGGAGAGTGCGCCTCAGTGACTTCTGAGAAGAACTTGGAACGCATTTCGAAGAAGTCCAAGGAATTTCTCGAAAAAAGAAGATTTCTGAAGCAGAATGAATGAACCCATCTCGAGCGACTGATAGCCAACACCAGTTGCAGAACAGCTTTGCAGGAGGATCTCAGGAAATACAGGCAAGCCAAGATACTGGAAGCAGCCGAAGGAAGACGAAATCCCAAGAAGTGCCGAAGGGACCTCTGTGAATATCGCGTACCGCTGGCTGCACTATTGAACGAAGACGGGACTCCGACTTCTTCCCGATACAAGATGGAATCTATCGCGAAGAACTTCTATACCAAACTCTTCCGCTCATCAACACCCGTGCCGATGCCCGTTGTTCCCACTGGAGAAGTACCACCACGAATTCTACCTGCTGAAGTGGGCACAGCGATTCAGACCATGAAAACGTCCACGGCTCCAGGACCAGATCTTCAGTCGAACTTCTGCGAGCCGGAGGACAACGTCTACACGAGATTCTTGCGTCGCACCTTACATCTTATCTTCAGAAGGAAAGGATTCCCGACCAGTGGAGAACGTCAAGAACCGTCTTTCGCTTCAAGGAGGGTGAACGGAAGAATCTTCGGAGCTACCGTCCAATATACCTGCTGAGTGTGCTGTATCTCGCTCGCATATCTAGGACACTGGATGAAGCTCAACCACAAGAACAAGCTGGATTTTGCAAAGGATTCAGCTGCGGACCACACCCAGACGGTTGCGAGGGTCATAGAAGTCTGCCGGGAGTACCAACTGCCTCTCGTCCTAACCTTCGTCGACTACGAGAAAGTCTTTGACAGCGTGGAAACCAACGCCATCCTGAGGGCGCTAGTCGATCAAGGATTGAACCCTGCTTACCGAGGACGTTAGCCGATTGCTACAAGGACTGTACGACGACGACGCAGCTGTTCCATCGCCCCTGGCCATCCCAATTGGAAAGAGGGTTTGACAAGGCGATACAATCTCGCCGAAGCTGTTCCGGCCTTGCAGTGGGTGACGAAGTCACTGAACTGAGACGAGAGAGGCTTACGAGTTGATGGGAGATTACTGACAAACCTTCGTTTTGCGATCGACATCGTCCTCTTCTCGAGCAGTATCACTGAAGCAGAGAGGTCGCTGAAGGAACTAAACGAAGCAGGGAGGAAGATCGATTGCGAACAAATCGGAAGAGGACTCAGTTCATAAGGAACGCCCCTTATGAAGATGCGGAAATGGATTTGGAAGGCACCCCTATCATGGAGACGGCTTCTTACGTGTATCTTGGACGTTCGATGAACATGGAGAACGATTTGAAGGAAGAACTTAACAGGAGAAGAAGAGCAACCCGGGCCGCCTTCGAGCCTCTAAAGGAAGCCACCGACCAACTGGCGGACCCGGAGCTTTGCGCCCACCTGTTCGACTTAACCGTTCCCCCGGCGCTCTCTTACGCAGCTGAGACTTGGGC